TAATTAAGAATAGCCATAGTTTCGGGTTACAACCCTATATGACATGTGACAGCAACATTGAGTCATCAACCGCTTTGAGTGCAATCATTTCAACACACACGTGAGACAAGAACACTCGGTAGGTGTTTACATCGTTTCATCCTTGTATACAACTGCTCGTGCATGAGAAATGTGTTCTGCACTGTCCTCCTTACAAGAAGTTTGAAACTGAGCTCACAGCCTGCTATGCATCAGACTGGAGGTTGGAACTAGCTAAATGTTACTGAAAACGGGCGTCAAGAACTGAGCAAAGTTCTGTCCAATCTACCCTATTACTTTGTGGGATAAATCGTTTGAGTTTGCCAACGGAAAGTGGTATGAAATTTTAGATTGCAGATTAAAACGAGGACCAACTCTGGTTGGCTTCCCTAGCTAGATATGGTGAGGCTAAGGAGGGTGTGTGCATTTCACTACTAAGAGAAATCCCTTTAAAGCGCTGCAGACGAAATTTTCAGAAACACTAATGAATTTCAAGGATAACAGGGTGTTTTGAAAACACCAGTAGTATGTTGGAAGCCAGCACTAGCACTAGTTTTGTTGATAATGTAAGGAGAGTGATCTGAGCAAGGTTCTCAAACAAGAATGCAACTGACAGGTAACACGGGTGTGGCATTCAATACTCAAGGAATCTTACGTGTCAACTAAGCCAATCCAGCAGTTGTGCAATTAAGTCCACGAAGTACATGATCAAACACAGTTTTCATAGTACAACAATAAGACAGCGCGATCAACCTGAGCGAGTGAGTGGATCGCTGCTACGGGATTAAAGTGGCGTGAGAAAATCGTGAAAGGGAAGCAAAATAGTGAAGTCCTGGAGACCGTACCACAGGTCGAAATTCATATTATATACGACGCGAGAAAATAGCATGCGCCGGAGACTCTGGTGAAGTGTACGGAAAAAAGTGTGCTTGACTTTATAAAAGCATGTATTCGTGTTTTACGAAGAGGGGAGCTAATTCACTGCATATTCAAAGTTTTATTAGACTGCAAAGGCAAGCAAGGACTACAAGAGCGTGGTTTCCTGCGAACCATCAGGAAAATAAGCATGTGGTTACAAAAGTTTCTCCTTC